AAAGTCGTCTAGCTTAGGAAGTGGAAAGTCAGGTTTTGATCCCGGTTCTTTAATTAGCTGGTTATGCTTCTTTGGTTAAGTCATTTACATACTCTGCATCACATCTTTATTTCTGAATTGAAGGCGCTAAGGGAAGAAGAAATGATGATTTTCCCCTTTTCTTCCCTAAACCTCCTCACATCTAGTGCATGTTAAATGGCATCATCATTTACTCAGTTATAGCCAAAATCTTAGGACTTATCCTTTTTTCCTTTCCCTGTGACATCTACCCTCACTCCGCACGTCACTCACTTAGCAGGCTCCTCACATGTCCCAGATCTGCTTGCTGCCTCCGTCCCTCACCTGTGTGCTCCTTCTCATGTACTTTTCTGTTGTCCGTTTCCCACACTGCAGCTGGAACCATCATGTTAAATGAAGACAACCTCAGATAACGAAATGCCTTTGCTGAAACCTCCTCCCACATAGCTTTGCTGGGGATGAAACTGGAGCTCTGCACTCCAGCCCCCAAGGTCCTTGTGATCCCCATGGTCCTTGAGGCCTTGTGAGCTGTTTTCCAGTCTCATCACCATTTTCTCTCCTGAACGCTGTGCTCAAGCACACAGGCCTCTTGTGTCTCCCATCAGCACCTGCTTTATGGTGCTGGTCTAGCTGGGCCCTCTGCCAGGTGAGCTCTGCTAATTAGCTCCTTCTGGTGATTCTGTTGTCACCTTCTTCATGGAGGCCTGCTGGGTCAGTCCAAGCTATCCCCTCTGCAGTTTCCACCACACCATACTGTTTCATTTCCTTCATGGCAGGTGTTGCTGGATTGTGACCAGTGTACGTTACTCTTCCCTTGGGAAGTAAGTGGGCCTTGAATGCCAGACTCACCCTGCATCTCTGCAACCCAGGACAGTGCCTAACTGAAAAAAGTTAATCAGTGTTTTGTAAAGCAGATGCTTGAATTGTCCAGATGATAACAGAGGTTCTTGAAATTGAAAAAAAATGGATTCAGTGAAATAATTTGATATTTATAATTATTGTTTCCATGCACCATTTGGGATTCCGAGGGAACATTATGATTACATATTCATACACTATAGCTTTCCTTTTATGTATTGATGTATTTCTGCAGCAGGACCTTTTCAGATGGAGAAGGTAATTACACTGTGCCTTGGTGACTGGTGACGGGCTCCTGCACATGTTATACCATGCTAGTGATTCGTAGAGGTAAATTGGAAGTGCATTCACTTTCTGTAGCACCTGCATTTTTTGCACAAGAGGTGCAAGAAACTTGGTATTAAAGAATTGGTTCTTTGAAAGATTAAATAAAATTGACAAACTCTTAGCCAACCTTATCAAAGAAAGGGAGAGAAAGCTCAAATCCTTGCAGTTAGCAATGAAAAGAGTGAATCACAACAGATTCTGCAGGAATCTAGAAAAATCATCAATACTACTTTGACAACCTATATTCTAATAAGGTAGAAAAGATCTTATATGTTATTCTAATAAGATGGAAGAAATGGACAGATTTCTAGATACATATGAATTACCAAAGCTGAATCAAGAAGATATAAAAGTTCTAAATAAACTGTATCTGTTAATGAAATTGAAGATGTAATGAAAAGAAAAGCCCAGGCCCTGATGGCTGTATGTTTTGGAAAAGTGACGCAGTGTAGGAGTGTGAATACATACGTTTTTAGACATGGGTCCTCTGGCTAATGATTTACTGCTGCTGAAGGGAACGGTTCTATGCAAAGGAAATGGTTAGTCCTTCATTAAATATTCTTATCAGAGGGTAATAAATTTCCCTTCTCTAATTAAATTCTAGAGTTAAAAAAAAAATGCACATGCCCAGATAGCTGCCAGTGATACAAGTGTTAACAAGTTTTTGGTTGTGGTTCTATTGTCATCATTGCTAATGAATTACTTTAAAGCAAATATGTACTTATAAAGATGAAAGATGACCTTTTCTCTTAAAGCCATGTTACTGCTTTTACATCATTGTGACCTTAGCTTTTCAGGTGTTTTCTTGAGCTGTTTTTTTCTTATTGTCGATTTTAAAAAAAAATGTACCAGTGGTGAGTATAAATTCATATTATGAAAAACATGGGGTGACAGACTATGATTAGATACATTGAAGGTAGCAGTTTCCATGAAACATGGATGCTTTAAAGTATTTGTCCCAAAGTTTGTTCCTTTTGTGTTACCCCCATTCTCCTTCTTGGATCCACTTAATGGCTCTGTGTGTTTTTTGGAGAGCCAAACACAATTTGAAGGAGTGGTGTGGAAGATTTAAAACGAGGGTGCTCATTTCTCAGAAGTTCTCATTTGCAGGGCCTGAAATGACTGTTGTTGAGAGAAGTGAAATTCAAACCAGTGGGGATAAAAGTGCCTGTCCATTCCAGTTAGTTTTTGTTTTTGTAACAGAACATCTTTGTACAAACAAAAAGATGTTCTAAAGAAGAGGACTGTGTGCCCTTGAGTGCTTTCTATTCTGGTAGCATCTGATTGAGGATAATTTCAGAAATTTCTACTATATTGCATGTAATCATAGGTTAGTGATTGGATTTTTTTAATGATAGAATTGCACATTTTGTTTCTGAGTCCCATGCATGTTTTTTAAAGTAGTGTAATAAATTTGTTTTCTTGCCTCCAGGGTGACTGAAAGAAAAGCTAGGAGTAATTTGTGCGGTAGCCTAATTCTGAGACCTGTACAAACCAAATTGATGTTACGGCTTTTGCCTTGGATAGATTTTAGACGACTTTTGTTGGTCTATAATTTTATTAGTATGATTGATTCATGGACCTCATTCATGTCCCATGAATCATATCTCTCTGGGCAGAACAGTCAGTGGACTTAGACAAACTTTGGAAAGTGTGAGTCTGTCATTTTTATAAATTACTAGGAGGGAGGTAGTGAAGTGAATTATGGACCAGAAGTGATGTTGCATGGTGATCCTTTTTGGAGGAGGGTTGTCTTTTTTTTTTTAATAATCTACTATTCAACAAACTCTCCCCAAATTGCTGTATTAAGAGTATCATTTAATTTTGCTCATTCTTTCATGCTCATTCATAAAGGGCTCATCTGGCCCGTTTGTCTCTGATGGACATAGTATTAGTTGAGGCAGCTGGAGCTGAGATGGCTTCTGAGATGGCTTCTTTACGTACATGGCCGGTGCCTGGGCTGGGCTGCCGACAGGTGACACTGGCTTTTGGCTGGGTGCTGAGCTGGGTGCTTGACCTGAGCACTAACATGTAATCCTCCATGTGGCTTAGGTTTCTCCCAGGTGTGCTTGGAAGCTTCAAGGCTGAGGCTTCTTGTGACGTAGCCTCGTAAGTCCCAGAACACCAGTCATCTTGCATATTATTGGTCGGGTAAATCACTAGGATCAATTTAGACTTAAGGGAGTTGTGGGAGTGGAATCCTCCACCTTTCTTGGGAAGGAGAAACAAAGAATTTGAGGTCATCATCAGTGGCTACTGATGGGATTGCATCAGAATAGCATTTATTTAATAGCACTTTATATTCCTTCTGGGGTTCAAGAGGCTTAAAGTAAAATATAAATACTAAAAAGTAGTTCCATATCAGAGGAGCTCTATCTAAGCACTGTAGCCTTCACTTAAACAAAAATCTGGGGTACTTCATCCTAGTCATTTGATGGATGGAAACACTAGAAGTGGCATGACCATAATCTCAAAGTATCTAGAAAGTTGTCAGCCCTCTCTCTGAGTCATCAGGCAACCTAGTTTGTCCAGAGAGTTCAAAGGAATCACATATCTTACAGCTGGAAAGAATGCTATGGGATTATATCACCATTATCACCTTCCCCAAATATTTATTGAATGTTTCTTGTATGCCACACCTTGGGTATACAAAGGAGAACATGATGGACTTTTGCTTTTGAAACAGACTAAAGAAAATAGAACTGATGCATAAAAGATAACACAAATTCATAGGTTATAAACTGATGAATAAATAAAAGTCCAAGAAAGAGAAATGGTCATTAGAACCTGGTTTGGGGGCTGAGGAAAGCTCTAAGGAGATAGACTTTTTGTCACACTGAAAACATAAAATCCAAATGTTGGCCATTACCTACCCGTTCCTCTGGAACTTAGATCCTTGCCTCCCCTCTGACCTCTTAGTCTGTTTTGTGTTGCTGTACCAAAATACCCCAGGCTTGACATTGTATAAAACAAAGAGATTTATTTAGCTTATAGTTCTGGAGATTCAAGAGCCTGGCACTGGCACCTGATCAGCTCTGGTGAAGGCCTCCCAGGAGTTGGGATCACATGTTAGGAGTGCATGTGAAGGGTTTCCTGGAGGTGCCAGTCTCCCTCATAACAACACATTCTTATGGGAACTAATCTAGTCCTTCAGGACTTATCCCCCCCCCAATGGTACTGGGATCGAACTCGGGACCATATGCTTGTGAGGCAGATGTATTAGTAGTCTCTTTTGAGGGTGGCACTTCTATGACCTAATTACCTTCCATTAGGCCCCAGCTCTTAAAGTGCCACTGTCTCAGTACCACTACTCTGCGAACCAAGTTTCCAGCATATCAGCTCTTGGCGGACAAACCACGTCTAAACTATAACATTACTCTTTTTCTTCATCACTGGGCTTCTTCCCCCAGCTTGCAGGCATTCCAGGATCTTTGCACTTGCTCATTCCTCTGCCTGGAATGCCTTCTCCAGATATTCCCATGATTTGCTTCTCACTCCCACTAGATCTCTGGTCCCCTATGATCCCCTCCAGTCTTATTTGACTTCCCTGTCTACTTCTTATATTTTATCATTCTTTATCTCCATGAAGGACGTTGCTGCTTTGTGTCCTCAGCATCTGGAACAGTACTTGACCTATAGCTGGTGCCCAGTAAAATATAGCTGAATGTATGAATGAGTAAACCATGCAGAACCTGGGAGAAAAAGGATATCTGTTTGGGCTTCTAAAACAAAATACCGTAAACCAGATAGCCAATAAACAACAAATATTTATTTATCACAGTTCTAGAGGCTGGAAAGTGTAAGAGGCACTTAGCATATTTGATGTCCGGTGAGGGCCTGTGTCCTGTTTCATAGATGGTAGCTGTTCTGCTGTGTCTTCGTGTAGTGGAAGAGTCAAGGCAGGTCTCTGAGGCTGCTTTTATACAGGCATTGACAACTGTGCCCTCGTGATCTAATCACCTCTCAGTGTCCCTACCACTAACACTGTCACACTAGTGATTAGACTTTAACCTATGAAGTTTGGGGGACGTAAATATTCATACCATGGCTAGGATTTAGCAGAGTGGAGAAAAGACAATAGTGCAGGCAAGGTAGAGAGAAAAAGAAGCAGAAAGTATATGATACTTTCACAGGTCATCTGCTTCAACTCCTTGACATTGATTGTTCTCACTGGAATCCTTCAAATCATCCTCTGAACAACCGTTGTATATGACAGACACAGTAATTGGGCTTTCACAAGGTGTCATTCATTTTTGAGTGGCTTAGCTGGATCATGCCTGGTAGCACTGGAGAACTTGCCACTTGTGAAAAAATATTCTGCAGTGTCCCTTTTGTTTGATTTTGCTGCAGTTCATATTTCCAACTGGAACATCCAGCTTTTTTTGCCTTAATCTGTAGAAATTACACACAAATTTCTCAAAACATAGTGACTTAAAACATTCACAGATTATTTCTCACAGTTTTTTTTATATGTTGAATGGGCTCTGCTGACCGGTTGTTCAGTTGTATGTGGTGTCAGCTGGTGTCACTAATATAGCAGACACTTTCTAAGTTCAGCTGGCGCGGGAGTGCCCATGAAAGTTTCACATGTCTCACGTTGGCTGGAGACTCGAGCCCCTTGGTTCTCTTCTGCAGTGTCTCCTTTCCTCTAGTATATAGACCAGCTTTCTTATTTCATGGTATCTGGGTTCCAAATATGAGATATGAAAGCTGCTGTTTGTCTTGCAGCCTAGATCTGGAACTGAACACATGACTTCCATCTCACTCTTGGTCAGTGAGTCAGAAAGCCAGCCTGAAATCAAAAGGAAGGAGATGAATTCCACTTATTGATGGGATAAATGGCATGGACATGCAGGGGTGGGAGGAGGTATTAGCGGTGAAGCTTGCAGACAATCTGCCTTGGCGCACCTAGGTATTCGTTAGTATTGTTTAAGTGAGAGGCAGGTATTATTAGTAAGGGGTTCAGCCTTTGAGTATTATTTGAACCCTTTAAATTTGAATTGTAAATTACTTATTGTGAAAACTACTGGGAACATTTTGGGTGTAACTGAGCAGCAGCCAAAAATGATCTTTGCTCATGAGGTTTGTGTTTTCTGCTTTACTTCCCACTTAGGTTGTGTTGGACCTACTACTCCTCTGGTTTGAATAGACACTGGAATAAAAATTAAAAGGAATGTGAAGGGTGATACTAGAGTCTTTTCTGATCCTCATGGCAATTTAGAGTAAGTGATTCCATGACTAGGGCATCTAAGCATAGAAAAGAAGCAAAAAGGAAGGGCCGAGAAGTAAAAGAAACAGCCTAAGTTGGAACTGTTATCGTGATGTTATCAGATGGTGCAGGGAAGCTTGAACTACTCAACTTGCATCTTCTTTGTCCGTCTAGATTCTTTGATTCTTTATTTATTTTTATTTTTTGTACAGGGATTGAGCTTAGTCAGAGCCTTTGCATTGAGCTACAACCCTGGGCCTTTTAAAATTTTGAGGCAGGGTCTTGCTAAGTTGCCCAGGCTGGACTCAATCTTATGATTCCCCTACCTCACCATCCCAGAGTGCTGGGATTATAGGTGTACACCACAGCCAGCTGGATTCTGTTCTGGACCCCTACAATTTATTTCTCATACAGCAGCCAGAGTGATCTTTTAAAAATATAAATCAGATCATGTTATTCCCCAGGTTAAAATACTCCAGTTGAATTTTGATTGTTTTTAATAACAAAATTAGCTCCCACTATTGCCTCTTCACCTGCCTGTCATGTTTTTTTTTTTTTTTTTTTTTTTTTTTTTTTTTTTTTTTTTTTTTTTTTTTTTTTTTTTTTTTTTTTTTTTTTTTTTTTTTTTTTTTTTTTTTTTTTTTTTTTTTTTTTTTTTTTTTTTCTGTACTGGGAATCAAACTCAGGACCTTGAGCTTACGAGGCACGTAGCAGAACCACTGAGCTAAATCCCTGGCCCCTGCTTCTCATGTTGTAACCACATTTATTTCTTTCTATCTCTTCAGCCCTTTAAGGTCATTCTGCCAGGTTCACCCCATCGTAGGGTCTTTGTACTTATGATTCCCTCTGTCTGGAGCTCGGTGCTCTTAGATCTCTCATTAGTTCTTTAGTCCAAGTCCCTGCCCAAATAACCTGAGAGAGATTTTTCCTAACCTGTTACAGGAGTACACTCAGCCCTTGATATCCTGCTTCATGATGTACTCATTTGTTGTTTTTCACTCGTTCCTGGAGCGCCTGCTCTGTAAAGACTGCCTCAGCTTCACATCTCCCTTGTGTTCCCAGTGTATCAATGATTGAAAGGCCCGAAGAGTCATACTAAGCAGGCCAGAGAAACCACTGGCGACATGAAATTAGAGTGTGAGATAGTTCAATAGACAATAAAAGATTGCTCAGTTGTTGAAAATCAGTTCAGAATTTTTGATCCAGAAGTATTTTAGTTGTAGGAAATTTTGAAAAGTGGGAAATTCTTGGAATTATGAACATAGATAAATGCAAGTCTGGTTTTCAAGAGCGAGGGACATGGATTTAAAAGCTAGAATAGGAGCTCTATGCTACTTGTAGACTAAGTTCTAGAATGGATTATTAAAAGGGTGGTTTGTGAGGGTTCATACAGTGGCAGAGTGGGGCACCCTTAACAAAAAAAGGCCCGGAGAAATGAATCGTCTTCTTTTAGGTCACCGCTGAGTTTGGTGGCAGAACTGAGATGAGAGTAAAGAACTCCTGATTCCACACTAGTGTTCTTTCTTCTCCAACAGTGTTTTCAGTCGGAAATGTAAGAGTGCTTCACATTGAATGTGAAATAGAAATCTTTGTGTGTTTTCATTATTTTGAAGGTAAGCTTAAGAAAAAAGTCACTTTTGAGAACAGTCTCTCAGATGGGGCACATTGACCATCAGAGGTCAAGGGCCTATTCTCAGTGGCCCAAGGGGTTTAATCCTTCCACCCCCTTAAAAAAGATCTTCACCCTACTGTAGGCTTAGCAACCTCACAGCATGGTTTTTCTCCATTTGATTAACTCAGTGCTTTGTGCCCTTTAATACATGTGAGCTGTCTAATACAGAAGCTTCTGTCTAATACGGTTGAGCAGTGGAAATATTGACTTTTTCAAATTGATGTACGCCGAAGTGTAACGTACACCTTGGGTTTCAGAGACTTAGTATGAAAGAAGAATTTTGAGTATCTGTTGTAACGATAATGTTTCTGATATGTTGGGTTAAATAACATGCAATATCGAAGTTCACTTCATCTGGGATTTCTTTTAAAATGTGGCCAGTAGAACATTTTAACTTACATGCATGACGTGGACTCCCTAGAACCGGAAGCTTCTTTCGGGAGGAAAGATGGAAGGACACGCTGAGTGGCATTGTACGCGGGAGGCCTCAGGACCGCGTCTGCACCATGCGGACAGCTCTCATTCTCAAAGAGGATCCTTCCTGTTCTGCTTGTTGGTTCTCCCTCCACCACCTTCCTCTCTTTGGTGGAAACATGACCACATCTGTGAGCTCTGTATCTGTAAGGCTGGAAGAGAAGGGCAAAGGGCATTCCCTGCTGTAGCCATCGTTTTCTCCGGAAAATCATTAGTCCCTTCCCATTCAGTGAGCTGAAACGGCCGCAGGGCCACTCCTTGCTGCGGGAAGCTGCAAAGCGAGCGTGAGCTCTTTGAGACCCAAGAATGGGGATGGCGCAGAAAGCAGGCGTTTGAGAGGGCAGCTGTATTAGTCAAAAGAACAGAATCTTCCGCAGCAAGTCGTAGGTGTGACCAGGGACACCATTCCCAAGTCACCTATCAGTATTTTGGAGTCAAAAGAGAGTATCGTTTAGTCTCTTTATTTTTAACATTTTTTTCACCAGATGCGCTTAGCTGCCACTGATGATTGTTACCTAGGTTGAGTTGTATTAAACACTTCTTTCATTTTAGACATGAGAATACAAGACCAAAGAAGTTAATGTCTTTGATTTCTATGTAAATTAAAAAGAGGGTAGGCCGGGCGTGGTGGCGCATGCCTGTAATCCCAGCACTCGGGAGGCTGAGGCAGGAGGATCGCTGTGAGTTCGAGACCAGCCTGAGCTACATAGTGAGTACCAGGTCAGTCTCACTACGTAGTGAGACCCTGTCTCAAAAAACCAAAAAAAAAAAAAGATAGGCGTTAAGAGTTCTTGTTTTGCTCATTTTTACATTTCTAACTTCATCAGCAAAGAAAAGCATATTGGTTTTCTTTTTAGCTATTTGAAAATGATATGAACATAATGATTCTTATCTGTCACCAGAATATGTCACAAGAATGTTGCTAAACAAATACAAATGTTAGAAGTTCCAAACAAGCATTTATTATAGAGGAACCCACATGTGAGAAGAGATCAAAACAAGAGGACAGACTGCTGTCATATAGGACGTAAAAGTCTAGCTGGCAAATCTGAGTATTAGAAATTCTTGTGAAAAATTTTAAAAAATATTTAACAATGATGAGATTTTGAACAGTATTTAATGTCAGCACATATGAGTTGATAGTATAGTTAGGTTTTCCAAACTTTTTTTTTGTACCAGGAATTGAACTCAGGACGTTGCACTTGCCAGGCAAGCGCAGTTCCGAACTCTTTTTGACTTGGAACCTCTTTGATGGTAATAGACTCTTACTGGCCCCTTGTGAGCTTCTTAATCTATTCATTCATTTTCTTTGGTCTCTGCTAAGTAATTTCAGGTAGAAAAATTATTTACAATAGGTCATTGTTACTCATCAAAATTCTGTATTTTTGTTAGACTTCTGTATTAACTTTCCTATGGGTAGGACAAAATAGTCAACAGCCACAATTTAAAGGAGGAGAGGTTTAATTTGGCTCACACTTTCTTCTATTTTTAATTTACAGAGGAATCAAAGACATTAACTTCTCCAGTCTTGTTTTTCTCTTTTCTAAAATGAAAACTTTCCTGTGCAGCCTAGGAGATTCCATGGTTTGTTGGCTCCGAGGCAGGAACGTTGTGGCAGAAGGGCATGGCAAGCAAAGCTGCTCGATTCATGGGAGCCAGGAAGCAGAGCAGGGGAACAGTGGCAGAGAGGAAGGAGCCAGGGACCAGGCATAGACCCCACACCCGTGCCTCTGTGACCCACCTAGACACGCCTAAAAGGGTGCTTTACCAATCTCCTGAGCAGATCCCAAAGCCAGTGAAGTTTATACTTCACCTTAACTGCTACCTCCCACCCCTGTCAACTTCATACCTGAGCACATCTCTTTAAACTATGCATCATTTCCAAATAAAGATAATAGGACGTTTGTAATTCCACGTAACATAATATAACTATCTGCATGCAAGTGGAAAGGTATCAGTCCTTTTGCCAGAGTCTCAACTCAGAAGTTCCAGTATTTTTCCAAAGTCCAAGTGGAAGTCTCTTCTGAGATTCAAGGCAAACTCTTAAATAAACAGAGTAATGTCAGTCTTCCAACTTTAACATGGAATTATCTGTTTAGGTCTTTTTCTCTCTACATAAATCTTAGTTTGTCACCATTTACAAAACAAATAACTGTATTTTGGTTGGAATTGAGTTAAATCTAAAGATAAAATTGAGAATAGCTGACATCCTGGCATTGTTGAGTATCTTTCCATTTCTTTAGTTCTTCTTTGATTTTTTTCATAAGATTTTAAAATTTTCTCATGTATCTATCACGTACATATTTTGTTGGATTTATATCTGAATATCTTCTGGGAGTGTTAATGTAAATGATAATGTGTTTTCAATTCAAATTCCACTCATTCATTGCTGGAATATAGGAAAGCAGTTAACTTTTTGGCATATTAACCCTTTATCCTGAACTTTGCCGTCAGCACCTATTTGTTCAGGAGTTTTTTGTGGATTTTGGATGTGTTGCATAAACACTCATGTTATCTGTGAGCAGAGGATTGTAGCTCCTCTTCCTCTATTTGTATATCTTTCATTTTTCCTTTTCTTTTTTTTTCATTGAGTTTATTGGTACATTTTAGGTATACAGTACAGTTTCATTCATCATTAGGATCTTGTACCTTTGCATGATGTATCTTGGTTCCTACATTTTCTCCACACCTCTGCTCATTTCCTTTTCTTGTCTCTCCTGTCAGCTGGGACTTTCAGTACAGCGTTGAAAAGCAATAGCGAGAGGAAGCATCCTTGGCAGGTTCCTGATCTTAGTGCGAGAAGTTAATTTTTTTTACTACTTAGTTATGACATTAACTGTAGGTATTTTGTAGATGTTCATCATTAAAGCAAGCAGCCTCCCTTCTCTTCCTAGTTTGCTGAGAGTTTTATGGTGAAGGGGTGTTTGATTTTGCCAAATCCTTTTTCTGTACCTAGTGATAAGAACATGTGATTTTTCTTACTTAGCCTGTTAATGTGATGGATGACATTAGCTTATTTTATGTGTTGAACTAGTGTTGCATACGTGGGATGAATCCCACCTGGTCGTGGTATACAATTCTTTTTATACAGTGTTTGATTTGATTTGTTAATATTTTGTTGAGAACTTCTGCATCAGTGTTCATAAGGGAAATTGGCCCATAGTTTTTTTTTCGTAATGTCTTTGGTTTTGGTATTAGGGTTGATGCTAACCTCATAAAATGAGTTAGGAGGTATCCCTACTGCTTGGTCTTCTAGAGGAGAGTGTAGAGAATTGGTATCATTTCATTCCTAAGGTTTTGGTACAATTCACCAGTTAAGTCATTCAGACTTTGTGTTTTCTGTTATTAATATTGTGTAAGCTTTCCACATATACAACAAAATGCCCACGGAAAGCAATTTAAAGGGGGAAAGTTGATTTCGGCTCGTGATTTCAGAAGTATCAGTGCATATAATCTGGCTTTATTGCTTTTAGGCCTGTGGCAAGCCAGAAACATCATGGCAAAAGCATGGCAAAAGAAAGCTGCTTACTTCACGGCAGCCAGGGACAAGATAAACTCTGCTAGGGACACCTTCAGTGATAGTCCTTGAGTTAGGTTCTCCCACCTCCCAGTGATGCCATCTGATTATGAGTCCATTAACAGATTAATCAGTGGATGAGGTTAGAGCCCATATGATATAATCACTTTCCTAAAGATCCCCTCTCTGAAATTTCTGCATTGGAAACCATCCCTGTAAAACATGAGCTTTTGTGGGACATTTTAAAATCAAACCTTAACAAATATGTTATTTAGTATTAATGCATGGAAGGTTATTGAATATTGATTCAGTTTTCTCAAATCTGCAGGCCCATGTTTATGTTCTGTTTTCCCATATGAATTTTGCCAAATTGTGCCTTTCAACAAATGTTCATTTTATAGAAACTGCAAAACTTGTGGGCATAGAATTGTTCATATTGTTTCTTTATTACTCATTTTTTTTCCTTCAGTAGTGGGAGTTGAATGTAGAGCTTCACATGTCAGGCAAGTGCTCTTCCACTGAACTGTATATCCTTAGCTCTTCCTTCTTTTAACTTTTGAAACAGCCTGGGCTAGCCTGAACTCTTGATCTTCTTGACTTGCTCTCCTATGTGGCACTACTACACCTAGAAAATGATTGCATCTGCTTTTCAAATTCCACTTTTTAGGCTGGGTATGGTAGCTCACGCCTGTAATCCCAGCACTCGGGAGGCTGAGGCAGGAGGATTGCTGTGAGTTCGAGACCAGTGTGGGCTACATAGTGAGTTCCAGGTCAGTCTTAACTACATAGTGAGACCCTGTCTCGAAAAACAAATTTCCCCTTTTTTTTTTTTTTTTTTTTGTGAGGCAGCCAGGCTGGGAATGCAACCCAGGACCTCATGCATGCTAGGTAGTCATTCCACCACTGAGCCACACTCCTAACTCCATTTATTATCCCTTTAATGTCCACAGGATCTGACCATAGCGATTTGTGTCCTCTACTCTCCTTTATTCTATGTTAGCCTGTGTAGAGACTTGTTGATTTTATTGATCTTTTCAAAGAATTGAGCTTTTTATTTTGTTGACCTTTGTATTGGTATGTATGTATGTATACATACTGGGGATTAAACTGAGTGTTCCATGTGGTAGGCAAGTACTCTACCCCTAAGCTTTATTCCCAGACTTTTAAGATTTTTTTTTTTTTTTTTTTTTTTTTTTTTTTTTGTGCTGGGGATCGAATGTATGTCCTTGCGCTTGTGAAGCAGGCGGCAGAAACACTGAGCTAAATCCCCAGCCTTTAAAGTTTTCTTTTGAGACAGGATTTTGGTAAGTTGACCAGCCTGGCTTTGAACTTGTAATCCTCTTGCCTCAGGGTCCCAAATTGCTGCAATTACAGTCATAAACCACTTCACCTGGCTAAATTTTACTAATTGCTGCTCTAATTTGTATTATTTTCTTATGATTACTTTGGGTTTCATTTGCTTTTCTTTTTAGAATTTCCTTACAAAAAAGCTTAGGATTTGGCTTTAGATCTTTCATCTTTTCTGATATTTGCATCCAGTGCTGTACATTTCCCTCTAAGAACTTCCTTTGCTACATACCACAAATCTTGCTAAGTTGTTTCCCATTTTCATTTAGTTAAAAATATTTTAAAATT